TTACCAGGGCTAGCAGTACTCATACTTGTAGAAAGAGTATTAGTCACAACAGACAGAGTATTATTAGTGTTAGTAGCAAGAGTATTTGCAGAGGAAGTGGTCATTATAGAAATACTATTATTAGTGCTGTCACCACCAGACATTGTAGGTGAAAGAGGATTTGTAACAGAAGCATCATTACTAGTGCTAGCAACAACAGTATTTGTAGGTGTAGTTGTTACCATAATAACAGTAGTATCCATAGCATTAGTAATTTCAGATAAAGAAGTAGTCACAATAGAAAAACTACTGCTAGTAGTATCAGCATCAGTACTTGTAAGAGAAGGAACAGTTGTAATTGGAACAGTATTAGTGCTAGTATCATCAGTACTTACATGAGAGGAAGTGGTTATAAAAGAAACATTAGTACTAGTGTTGACATTAGTATTATTTGTTGGAAAAGGAGTAGTTATATTAGAAATAGTAGTACTAGTACTAACATCAGTAGTGTTTGTTAGGGAAGGAGTAGGGGTAATAAGAGCAGTAGTACGAATGCTAACATCAGCAATACTTGTCAGAAAAGGAGTGATTGAAATAGTTCTAGCAGTAGTAATACTTGTAGGGGAAGGCATAGTTGTATTAAGAGTAGTAGTACTAGTGTTAGCATCAGCAGCAGGAGAGAATATGGCTGTGGTATAAACAGTAGCACTAGTGCTAGAAGTATTAGTACTTGTAGAGGAAGAAGTAGTTGTATCAGGAACAGCAGTACTGGTTATAACATCAATAGTACTTGCTGGGAAAGGAGTAGTTGTGATAGGAACAGTAGCACTAGTGCTGGATGTAGTACTTGCAGGCGAAGGAGTAGTTGTATCAGGAACAGCAGTACTGGTTGTAACATCAGTAGTACTTGTTGGGAAAGGAGTGGTTGTGATAGGAACAGTAGCACTAGTGCTGGATATAGTACTTGTAGACGAAGGAGTAGTTGTATCAGGAACAGTAGCACTAGTTATAACATCAAGAGTACTTGCTGGGAAAGGAGTGGTTGTGATAGGAACAGTAGCACTAGTGCTAGCAGTAGTACTTGTACTAGCAAAACTAGTGATAGTCTCAGAACTGGTAGCCTTAGTAGTAGATAGAGAAGGATGAGAACTCATTGGGGAGGTACTTGTCATAGCTGGAGTAGGAACTATAGGACCACCATGAATCCAAACAACCTCAGTTAACTTCTCCAGGCTGATAATCTTGTCAGTCAATTGAATAGTTAGTGTCTGCCAGAAAAGAAAAGATAAAGTGGATATTTTAGAACTTCTTAAATATCATATTTAAGTCTCAAATTATAACTTAACAAAAATGATATATTCATTCTTTTCCAAGAAAGTAAGAGGATGTAAACATTCCTTTCCAGGTCACATTGATTCCAGTCAGAGAAATATGAAGAGATGCTCTGTGTGCATAATCCCTATGCTGGAACTCTCTCTCTTTCCACCTCATTTAGTCAGAACCACATTGGTCACAAATATTAACAACTGCGATTCAGATCGATGTTTATTAAAATAACTTTGCTTTACCATTGGGTGTTAACCTTCCTGCTGTTTCACTGTCTCCAAGACCTAGGATAGTGCCTCGCACAGAATAGGCATCTGATATGCTATAGAGTTTTACAAAAAGAAGATACTTGAGGATTTTCTACCAGTCTTCACTAGAAGCAATTACTTGTAAAGGGTAGTTTTGAAACTAATGGTTCAGGAAAAAATGTTTTAAAGTAAATGCCTAGAAGATCCTATAGAAAGGCTGCTCAGAGGGGTCATTTTCTAAAATCTAAATACCATCAGGGCACAATGTTCACCTTTTAGCAAACAGGAACAATAGTTATTCATTTTCATCCTTCTAAAACATGCCCTATTGGTTACGGATCCATATTTATGATTAATTGCATGTTCTAAAGTGGGATATTTTTCCCTTTGTGGTTGCCCTTAGTAACTCTATTGGTACTTCATCTTCCAAAATGCTGGTTTAGTTGGTTCTGGCAGCCTCTAGTAGGGTCTGCTATTTATGTCACTCTGATTTGTTAATCATTATCTTATACCACAGGTGAGATCTATTCATCTGATTACCACAGTTTACTGCCAATTTCCAACCTGTAAGATACATCGATTTGACCAGGGATATGAATAACTGCAGGAAGGAGGGGGGAAACTTTCAAACAACTTTAGGAAACCACTCTTTCCCTTCTTGTAGCCTCTGCGGCAGAAGTAAATAAGTTTTGTTATGCTACCCTGGAGCCGACCCTATTAAAACATAGCACAGTTTCTTTTGTAAACACATGGAGAGCCTCTCACCAAACCAGTGATTGTTGGTGCCTGGACTACACTG